AAGAGTCAGATGCTTAACTGACTGAGCCACCCAGGCACCCCTGTTTCCTGACTTGTATTTTTAATGTGACCTAAATTCCTCAGTATTTTTCTAACTCTTACTGTTTGTATTACTGCCAGACATTTCAAAACTTTTCAGATGAGCCATGCAGGAAGGAACTTTCCAGATAAGCCATACAGGAAGGAAGAAAAGGAGTACTGAATCTGTAAAACATCCAAAGAAAGATTAGTGGAAAAAAACGGCAAGCAGTTAATACTGGAAAATGGGAACCAAAGACAGAAAATTCTAAGTGATTAAACACTTTTAAAATCAAGGCAGCATGTTGGAAGTTTCATTTCCTTTAAATAAATGTGACTATTTTACCTTCTTTCCTCATAAATCAGATACTTATGCTAAATCAGCTCAGTAGCAGAATATCTGAAAACACTTGGGTTTTGCTTGATGAGCTCAAGGGCAATCAACGGCAACATATTCCAACTTAAGAATAAGTTTTCTTTTTCCCAAAAGTTTACATTTAAGAGCAAGTGTTTGAAACTTGAAACACATTTTCCCACAGAAATGTTATTATAAACAGTGGTTAATTCCCAGGCCATCCCAGTGAACTCATTAAACTCATAGAGAACAAAAGTAGACATTTGCAATTAAAATAGTGTAAAACTGTATTATGAAAAAGAAAAACTTGCCTTTTAAATTCAAAAATTAAATTTAAACATGCAATTTAAATTGAAAGTTGTGTAACCAATGTTACACAGTGAGCACTTTGGGCCTCTGCATATCCTTAAACATCACTAATGGGGAGGGAGAAGTGGAAGGTTTTGAACTCAGGTGAGTGGGACCTGAAGAAACCCAATGCAGAGTCTGGAAGGCAAGTATGTTGTATTTACCCAGACTTAGGTGGGGGCGGTTTCTACTCAGATTTCTGGGAGTACAATGATATTGGTAGGTGATAGGAGATTAAAAGGAATGGAAAGGGGATTTGGGCTTCTCAGAATCCTAGAATCATTAATGTACAAATATCTAGAGCAGGGGTAATAGGGAATATCTTGGGGCAGCTGGTAAGCATGAATGACCAGGGGCTAACTCTTCAAACAGATAGGACCTAAGTACCCAGGTGGTAGCCACTGGCAGTGGACCCAGGCCTCCCTAGCAGACCCTAGGAGACCTGTGAAAAGGCCAACGGTGTGAAGGAGACATGAATAACCAACATGGAAGATCAGAAGAAGAGACAAAGTTATACCTGTGTGTCACCAGCCAAGATGCTCACCATTTCTAAAGCATGGCTAGACCTGTGTTTGATGTATTAGGTTTGTCTATCCTGGTTTGTGGGGGCACTTCAGAAGTAATCCTCCTTCGATACACTATACATTTGTTAAAATAAGTATTATACCGTGAAAAGAATTGTAAGAGCTTTTCAAAAGCATATTTAAAACAAATATTTTTAAAAATCCTGTATTTTCAGGGCACGTGGGTGACTCAGTCAGCTAAGTGTCTGACTCTTGATTTTGGTTCAGGTCATGATTTCATAGTTCAGGAGTTCAAGTCCTGCATTAGGCTCTGTGCATACAGCATAGAGCCTGTTTGGGATTCTGTGTCTCCCTCTTCTCCCCCCACACCTCTCTCAAAAATAAATAAAACATTTTCTTAAAAATCCTATGTTTTCAAGTACTTTAAAAAATGTTTATGTTTATTTTTAACAGAGAGAGAGAGACTGAGCATGAATCGGGGGAAAGGCAGAGAGAGAGGGAGACAGAGTATCCAAAGAAGGCTCCAGGCTCTGAGCTGTCAGCACAGAGCCCAACATGGGGCTTGACCTCATGAACCACAATATCATGACCTGAGCCCAAGTCGGACATTTAACTAACTAAGCCACCCAGGTGCCCCTCAAGTATTTTTTTTAAACCCTACTTATTTATCATGAACTATGAACTTAAACAAAATAAAAATTTTAACCTGCTCTTCCTCCCCCTCCCCAGACACCCTCTCCACTAATGCTTACAAGCTGGTAGACATCCCTCTGTACACTTGTAATTTTCCACAAAGTATCCAAATACATATGAATGCAATTTTGTACCATTTTATAAGACCTAACAGTATGCACTGATAATATCTCAGAGGCAAATCTTAGTAGATGTATGATATGCTATAGCAGAATAACCATTCATTTATTGACAGGTATTCACTCTTTTCCTTTGTTTTGCATTTTTGCCACTGGAAATACTACAATAAAAATCTTCATACATATATCTTCTGTTATTCAAGTTTATGCTCACTTACATTACAACAAACACTGCAAATATCTCACCAGCTTATGACAATAAAAGTTGGTTTCTAGTTCCCACCACTGTCCAATGCAAGGTGGGCTGTTATTACAAGGCATTTGCCTCCAGTAGTGACCCAGGGATCCATCTTACAGTTTTGCTATCTTAGAGTCCTTCGTTTCCAGCAGCAAGGATGTGAGAAAACTTGGAAGAGAAGGATTTTCTTTAACTAAAATTCTTTTAGTGTATTTGACACACAAGGTTACATTAGTTTCAGGTGTACAACATAGTGACTTCACAAGTCTGAATGCTATGTCATGCTCACAAGTGGAGCCACCGTCTGTCACAATACAATATCACTGACTTTATTCCCTATGTTGTGCCTTTTATTACTGTGACTTAATCATTGTGTAACTAGAAGCCTTCCACTTACCTTTCCCCATTTTGCCCGTCCCCACCTCACCTTTTCTCTGGCAGCCATCAGATTGTTTCCTGTATTTACAAGTCTGATTCTGCAGTTTGTTTCTTCATTTGTTGTGCTTTTAGATTTCACACGAGTGAAATCATAGATTTGTCTTTTTCGGTCTTATTTCACTTAGCAGAGTACTCTCTAGGTCCATCCATGTTGTCACAAATGGCACAATTTCCTATTTTATGACTGCATATTTGTGTACACACACACACACACACACACACACACACACACACACCTTTATCCATTTGTCTACTGACAGACACTTGGGTTGCTCCCATATTTTGACTATTGTAAATCATGCTGCAATAAACAGAGGGGTGCATATATCTTTTCAAATTAGTGTTTTCATTTTCTTTGGGTAAATACCCAGTAGTAGAGTTATTGGATCATATCATGTTCCTATCTTAAATTTTTTGAGGAATTTCCATACTGTTTTCCACAGCGGTCATCCCAATTTGCATTCCTACCAATGGTGCATGGGAGTTCTTTCTCCACATCTTCATCACTTGTTATTTTTTGTCTTTTTGATGTTAGTCATTCTGACGTGTAATATTTGTGGTTCTGATTTGTGTTTCCCTGATGATTAGTGATTTTGAGCATTTTTTCATATGTCTGTTGGCCAGAAGATGAGAATGATTTATGACAAGAACTGGATGTGGCTTAGGATGCTTCTGCCCAGATTCCATTGGCTACAACCCAATCGTGAGATCCTTACTTAACTGCAAAGGGAAACTGGAAAATGCAGTCTGCCTGTGGGCGCAAACAGAGGAAATGGATGAGCATTCAGCCATTTTTGCCAAATACCTTTACATACTCCTAACTTTATTTCAAAGGGTTTATTTCTGGACTGACATTTCTGGACTATAAAATTTCTATATTGTCTGTATGGTCATTTTGCAAAAGGACCATAATAACTCCTATTTCTGTCAGCCGAATAAAAACACTCAGCACCATTCTTGCTGTTCTAAATATCCCCTCTTTAAGTGCTAAAAGACTAGAAACTGAATTGACCCGCTTCTTATGTTAACAGGGTCCTGGTTTAACTTCCACCAAAGAGAGGCATTCTCACTGCAAAATTAGGAAGGGCAAAGAAAGCTAGCAGCCTTTATTTCTTGGATATGTGACAGCAGAAATGGCACTTACTGTGGCTTCCAGGTAATGTCCTACATTGTGCAGAGATTATTGGCAATGGTTTTCCCTGAAATTCCTGCACCCCTGGGTTTCTAGAAGCCAAAAGGAATTTCCACTGATTTGTTTCCTCAGTCTGACAGTTTAGGGAGCATCTATCTCATTTCCTATATAATAGCTCTTCCTACTTGAAATATTTAAAGTAATTTCTTCTCCAGACCAAGAAGTAACTTAAACATCAAACCAGCAAGTCATTTGTCTTTAATGACCTTTTTTCCCCACATATAATTGTTTAATTCTTATATTTTAAATATACTTATGTTGTATGTTATAGTTGCAGAGTTGCTTACCTTAGTTAACATAAATATTCTGTAACACTTCTAATTTTCATATTTTAAAGTCATTTAATCCATCTGGAATTTACTTTGGTCTATGTTGTGACTGCTAGTATAATTTATTAAATAAATCACATTTTCCCATCCAGCTGAAACACCATCCATGTCCCAAATGTCTTGATCTATTTCTAGGTCACCTAGTTTATTCTAATGGCCTATTTGCTTATTTCTAAGCAATGCCATACAGTGTCAATTGCTTTGGCTTTATGAAATATTTTCAAAACTGGTTTACAAATTTAAATTCAACAGAAATCATCTAACACAGTAATTTGTGCTACCAGGTTAACTCAGTTATATAGAGAGCTCAAAATAAAACTTATTTTTCTATCTCTGAGCATGTATTTGAACTTAATACAGATGTTAATGACAGAAATGACTGTTTTAAGGCAGCAGTGGTCAGTCCTAACTGGATCTAAATGCCTGAGAAGGAGCAGCCTCACTTTCTCACTGATTGCTGTTATTATAAGTGAAGGTTGAAAAATTGAATTTGTAATGTTATAATAAATACTACCTTTTAAAAAACTTACATATATTTTATATATAGGTCTCCATAAAAGATTTTGTTTATTATTAATAAAATTTAAAACTATTGGTCTAATACATAAACTTGTGTTGCCTTCAAAATCAATCATTCAACTCTGAGTTTTAATTGAGATATAGTTTACAAAACAGAGTTTGCCCTTTGAAGTGTTTGATTGAGTAGCTTTTAGTACATTCACAAAGTTTTGCACTGATCACCACTAATTCCTGTCTGTATGATTTGTTTATTATTAAAAAAATGTAAAAACAAAAGTACAATTTTCATTCAATAAATATCATTTGATCCATATACAGTTTTGTTACAGAAAGTGCAGCCCATAATTTTAGAATAATAGCCATAATTTATCAAGCAAGTCATCAGTTTTCACACAGTTTCAATAACTGCAGCAATTTCCTTGAACTGTCTGTAGAAATTCTGCAGAGAAAAAGGAAAAATATATTAACTTGGCTTTTAGAGGATAGGTAAGTCGTTCTTTTACTTATATCTGACCACTAGGGCCTACAGGCCATATTGAGTTTGTATATTAATGTTTATATCACTATTATTATTAGAAAATTATAAAGAACAGATGCAATTTGGTACAAGCAAATATACTATTGCAGAGTTGGATAATTAGCTCATGATTAAACTTTTTAGAGGGGTGCCTGGGAGGCTCAGTCATTTTAGTGTTAGACTCTTTATTTTTAGCTCAGGTCATGCTCTTAGGGCCATGAGATTGAGCCCTGCATTGGGCTCCATGCTGGGTAAAGAGCCTGTTTAAGATTCTCTCTCTCTTCCTCCACCATTCATGCTCTCTCTAAAAAAAATAATAATAATAAATAATAAAAACAAATTAAAATGCAAAAGAAAATTCTTTTGAGATTATACCAGAAAGGGTTATTAAATACCCAACCCTGTACTAGGCAATGAAAATAAAAGGAAAAATGACACTTTGGTGGGGGCACCTGGCTGGCTCAGTCAATACAACATACAGCTCTTGATCTCAGGGTTATTAGTCTGAGCCCCAATGCTGGGTGTAGACATTATTTAAAAATAAAATCTTTAAATAAAAATAAGAGTTTGGTTTTCAGGCTTCAAACCACTTTAAATCTAATGAAAGACTACATTTCAAAACGATAGGAGCTGTCTTGTTTAAGATATGGGTTTAGTTACAATAAGAGAAACCCAACAATGACAACGGTTTAAATGGTAGAAGCAAATTTCTCTGCCATTTAAAAATTAAGCTGGTATGGTTGTTCTGTAAAAGTCATCTTTCTTTTCCATCCCCAATACAATAAGAGAGAGAGCAAGTAAATTCTCTTTTCCTTTCTTCTCTATCTGCCAGGAAGCTAGGAGGCAAATTTGAAACTTAACTTCAGCAATTAGGATACTCCCTAATGACTTACATATTTGCATTTTCCTTCTTATTTGGTCTATTTTACTACTTAAGAGTGTGTATATACATATATACATACATATATATAATTTTAATTTACATGTAAACTCATGGAAAGAAGTTAGATGTCACTTTTTTTAAAGTTTATTTATTTTGAGAGAGAGAGAGAGCAGGAGAGAATGCAAGTGGGGAAGGGGCAGAGGGAGAGGGAGAAAGAGAATCCCAAGCATGTGCGGAGCCTATTTCAAAGATAAGATCCATTATTTTATCATTTTTGAACTTAAGTCTAAAAAGAATAAGAATAAAACAGTTAAATGCAAAGTAAATATCTTGCCAGAGAAGATGAAAATTTCCTAAATATATTCACAGGGGAGTACTATGAAAGTGATCAAATGTGACAGTACACAAAAGTACTGAAATTTATCAAATTCCCAGAGAAAACAAATTTAGATCTATTATGTGTACTAATAAATACACATCAAAAGAACTGCAAATAAAAACAATTAAAATTTTCCCTTAAGAAGGATTTCATGTTCAAGTAGCAATTACAGAACCATAAACTACAATTGAATGAGTGAAATCACAAACCTGAAACTGTGGAATTGTCATTTCAAAGGATTTATTCTTCACTTGGCCTGAATGATCTGCCACTTTGAGCAACACTGCAACGTAAGGATACTTAAGAGATCTGCAACTGTCTGAGCTCACCGCCATCCCCAGTTTCCACTGAAAATCTACAAGCTGTAATGAAACATTACAAAACAATTCATTGGTAATTACAATGCCACGAATGCAGATATTCAATTTTACTGGGCTCACATTGAACTTTCAGTTCAGTGCTGGTCAGAGTAAAAGAAAATATCTTCATTTAATACTGTTATGGGAACAATAATCAAATGAAAATGGAAAGAAGCAATAAGGGATATAAAGAGCTGGAAAACAATACTGTCAGAATTACAAGAATAAACACATACACACACACACACACACATCTTCACCAGATGTAAAATGGAAGTAGAAGAAGATGCATTATTCCTGGTTTTCCTTTCATTTTGCTCCAGCATTTAAGGGGACTACCGATGCTTTGTGGCCTCTCTTAACTCACACTCCTGTACCATATATGCTTTCTCCCATTCCACAACCCAAAAGTCCTGAAATGGAAGATGAGTTATATACCATCTCCTTATGTGACTGAGACTCACATGGGAACCATTCCAGTTTCCTTCTTCACCAGGATCCTCAGCCTGCAGCCTTCCACTGGCATAAACACTGGGTGATCGGGTGGTTTTAGATTTCATCACTGTTGATGAAATGTGGATGATGAACACTTGTCAGGTGAGGTGCTAGGTAGTTTACATGTATTAAATGCCTCACTGAATCATCAGAACATGATACTCTATTATTTCTATTTTGCAGATGACAAAACTGAATTTCAGAGAACTTATATAATGTGTGCAAGGTCACACATTTCTTTGATCAGAACTGAAACCAAAGTCTGTTTGACTCTAAAGAGTACACACTTATTGACTATTGGCTGTCTTTATACTTTTAATCTAATTTCTATCAACGACTGCTCAGTGTTGCTGTGGCATAAAACAAGATTGGAAAAAGCAGCTCTTAAAACTGACTCTAGAGGCGCCTGGGTGGCTCAGTCGGTTGGGTGTCCAACTTCGGCTCAGGTCATGATCTCATAGCTCATGGTTTGGAGCCCCGCACGGGGCTCTTTACTGACAGCTCAGAGCCTGGAGCCTGTTTCAGATTCTGCGTCTCCTCTCTCGACCCTCCCTGACTCACCTCTGTCTCTCCTCAAAAATAAATAAACATGAAAAAAATGTTTTTTTAAAAACTGACTCTAAAACAGAAGACTATGAGTTGAGGAATTCTGTTTCTTTTTTTCAAAGCTTAGACAAGTAAATGATACACAGCAGGCACTCACAAAACATACTTGTTGACTGACCACTTTTTTTTGAGAAAGGGTAAGTACGCATGTGCACGTGTACAAGCACTCATGTGGGTGGGGAGGGGCAAAGGAAGAGGAAGACAGAGACTCTTAAGCAGGCTCCATGCTCAGCACAGAGCCTGATGGAAGTCTCGACTTCATCACCATGAGATCATGACATGTGCTGAAATCAAGAATTGGACTTAACCAACTAAGCCACCAGGTACCCCTGAATGATACTTTTTGCTATCAAATTAATGCTGTTAGGGCAAAAAGCTTTCCTTGTTAATAAATCTTTTTATAAAATTTGAGATCTTTTATAAACAAGACTCATCTATATACCGCCTTCAAGAGACATTTCCATAGTTAAGAAGACAGACTGAAAATGAAGGGATGAAAAAAGATATTCCATGCAGATAGAAACCAAAGAAAGCTGAGGTAGCTACACTTAATATCAAACAAATAGACTTTAAAACAAAGACTGTAATAAGAAACAAAAAGGAAACTACCATTAAACCGTCTTCTTGTTGGTTTAATGATAAAGCATCAAACCAACAAGAAGATATGAGTAAATATTTATGCACCCAACATAGGAATAATAGATACACAAAGCAAATATTAACAGACCTACAGGGAGAAATAAACAGCAATACAATAATAGAAGACTTTAATACCCTTCTTATATCAATGGATAGAACATCCAGACAGAAAATCAGTAAAGAAACATCAGCTTTAAATAACATGTTAGACCAGATGGACTTAACAGTTATTTACAGAACATTCCATCCAAAGGCAACAGAATACACACTCTTCTCAAGTGCACATGGAACATTTACCAAGACAGATCATTTGTTAGGACACAAAAAAGTCTTAAATTTAGGAGGATTGAAATCCTCTGAAGCATCTTTTCCAACCACAATGGTATGAAATTAGACATTAATTACAAGAAAAAAACCTAGAAAATCCACAAACATGTGGAGACATAACAACATGCCACTGAATAATCGGTGGGTCAAAGAAGAAATGAAAAGAAAAATTTTAAATGAACCTTGAGACAAAGAAAAATGAAAATGTAGCATACCAAAATTTGTGGGATGCAGCAAAAGCAGTTCTAAAATAGAAGTTCACAGTGATAAATGCCTACATCAAGAAACAAGAAAAATCTCAAATAAATAAGCTAACTTTACCACTCGAGAAAACAGAAAAACAGACACCCAAAGTTAGCAGAAGGAAGGATATAACAAAGATTAGAATACAAATGAAATAGAAATGAAAAAGACAATAAAAAAGATCAAGAAAACAAAAAACTGGTTCTGCAAAAACATAAAATTGAACATTTTAACTTGAAGATTAAAAAAAAATTAAGACTTTAGTTAGACTTACCAAGAAAAAAAAAAGAGGAAAATAAAATCCAAAATGAAATATATGTTACAACTGGATCCACAGAAATACATAGGCTCATAAGATACTACTATGAACAATTACATACCAACAAATTGAATGACCTAAAAGAAATGGAAAAATGCCTAGACATATACAAACCACCAAGCATGAATCATGATGAATTAAGAACTATGAACAGACCAACTACTAGCAAGGAGAGTGAATCAGTAATCAAAGACTTTCCAACAAACAAAAGTCAGAGACCAGACGGCTTCACTGATGAATTCTACCAAACATTCAAACAGGAATTAGTATGAATCCTTCTCAAACTCTTCCATACACACACACACCACACACACACACACACACAAAGAAAACAAACAAAACAAAAAACCAGGGAGAACTTTTCCAAACAAATTTATGAGGCCAAATTACCCTGATACTAAAAAAAGACAGGTAGGGGCACCTGGGTGGGTCAGTTGGTTAAGCATCTGACTTTGGTTCAGATTATGATCTCACCATTTGTGGGTTCGAGCCCTGCATCGGGCTCTATGCTGACAGCTAGCTCAGAGCCTGGAACCTGTTTCAGATTCTGTGTCTCCCTCTCTCTCTCTGGCCCTCCCCTGCTCACTCTGTGTCTTTCTCTCTCAGAAATAAATAAAAGACATTTAAAAAAAATAAAAAGAGACAGGTACATCACAAGAACAAAAAATTATAGGCCAATATTTCTGATGAACATAAATGTGAAATTCCTCAACAAAATATCAGCAAACTAAATTCAACAGTCTATTAATAGGATCATATGCCATGATCAAGTCAGTTATTTCAGGGGTGCAAGGATAGTTTGACATCTGTAAATCAGACAATGTGATACACATTTAAAATAATGAAAGATAAAAATCATATATAATCATCTCAATAGAAGCAGAAAAAAGCATCTGACAAAATTCAATATCCATACATGATTAAAAAAAAAAAAAACTCTAAACAAAGCAGCATGATACTCAATGGTGAAAAGCTAAAAGTTTTTCCTTTCAGGTCAGGAACATGATGATGATGTCCACACTCACCCATTTTACAGAATTAGAAGTCCTTGTCAGAGCAGTTAGGCAAGAAAAGGAAATAAAAGGCATCCAAATTAGAGGGAAAAAAGCAAAACTGTCACTATCTGCAGGTGACATATAAAGGAAACCTTAAAGATTTCATCAAAAAGAGAAAAACTGGTAGAACTGATAAATTCAGTAGAGTAGAATACAAAAGGAATATATAAAAATTGCTGAAATTTTATACACTAATAATGACCTGTCTGAAAGAGAAGTGTTTTTTAAAATGTTTTTTAAAATTTATTTTTGGAAGCCAGATAGACAGCGTGAGTAGGAGAGAGGCAGACAGTGAGGGAGAGACAGAATCTGAAACAGGATCTAGGCTCTGAGCTGTCAGCACATAGCCAAATGTGGGGCTTGAACTCACAGACCACGAGATCATGACCTGAGCCAAAGCCAGATGCTTAACGGACTGGGCCACCCAAGTGCCCCAAGAGAAATTTTTCTTAATTTCTCTTTCAGATAGCTCATTAGAAAACAGTCCCATTTATGACTCTTTATTTTTTATTCAAAAAGAATAATTTGCCTAGGAATACATTTAACCAAGGAAGTGAAAGACCTATATACTGAAAACTGTAAGACATTAATGAAAGAAATTGAAGACACAAATAAATGGAAAGATATCCTGTGCTCATGGACTGGAAGAAATAATATTGTCCTTAACTACCCAAACCAATCTATAGATTCAATACAATCCCTATCAAAATTCCAACAATAATTTTCACAGAAAAAAAAAATCCTAAAATAAGTATGAAACCACAGAAGACACCAAATAGCCAAAGCAATTTTAGACAGAACAAGGCTGGAGGCATCATGCTTTCTGCCTTCAAACTATATTACAAAGGTATACTAGTTTTAAAAGTATGGTATTGACAAGAAAACAGACACACAGTTCAATGGAACATAATCAAGAGCTCACAGAAATAAACCCATGCATATTAAGGTTAATTGACTTATGACAAAGGAGGCAAGAATATAGAGCAGTGAAAGGACAGTATCTTCAATAAATACTGGGAAAACTGGACAGCCACATGCAAAAGAAGGAAACTTGACCACTATCTTATACCATACATAAAAATGTACTTGAAATGGATTAACAACTTGAAAGTAAGACCTGAAACCATAAAATTCCTTGAAGAAAATGTAGGCAGTAAGCTCCCTGACATAGAAGTCTTGGCAACAATTTTTTGAGTTTGACACCAAAAGCAAAAGCAGCAAAAGCAAAAGTATACAAGTGGGACTAAATTAAATAGCTTCTGCAGAGCAAAGGAAACCACCAACAGAATGAAAAGGTGGGGTGTCTGGATGGCTCAGTCAGTGGAGAGCTGAACTTCAGCTCAGGTCATGATCTCCTGGTTCCTGGGTTAGAGCCCTGTGTTGGGTTCCTCACAGACAGTGCGAAGCTTACTTGGGATTCTCTCTCTCTCTCTCTCTCTCTCTCTCTCTCATCTGCCCCTCTCCCACTCTCTTTCTTTCCCTCTCAATAAACAAACAAATCTTAGCCCCCTCCAAAACAAAACAAAAAACAAAAAGGCAACCTACTGAATAGAAGAATATAACTATAAATCATATAAATGAAAAGGGGCTAATATCTAAGAAATGTAAAGAACTCATACAACTCAATAGCAAACAAACAAAAATCTGACTTAAAAATGAGCAGGAGGCTCCTGAGTGTCTCAGTTAGTTGAGCAACCGACTCTTGGTTTCAGGTTCAGGTCACGATCTCATATTTCATAGATTCGAGCCCCACGTCAAGCTCTGTGCTGTTAGTGTACAGCCTGCTCGGGATTCTCTCTCTGCCCCTCCCCTGCTCATTCCTCCCTCTCTCTAATTAAGTAAATAACTTAAAAACAAGATGAGCAGAACAGCTAAATA